ATTTGTGGCTCTAAGCCCAATAGTGTATGCATTTTTCTAGGACCCCCCAGAGGTTAAAGTAATTTGGCAATTTCATTTTTCACTGACTATAAGGTGTATTGTGGGACCAAACTTGCAATAATAGTGGAACAGTGATATCATTTCCATCGTCTCTGTCTCTCTCTCTTCTTTAAGTCCAAAAGGAAATAAAAACAGCATACGAACGTGCACATTGAATTTGGTACAGATTTAAGGTTTTACAGGTGAAGTGTCTTGCCCAAGGACACAATATCAGAGTCTGTCCGAGCCGGGGCTCAAACCGGCAACCTTCCGATCACAAGACAACCTGCCAATTCTTGAGCCACGATCGCCCGCAATATAAGAATTATTATAGTCGTTTAGCTCAGTTCACTCCTCCTCCATCAAGATTGTCCTATGAGGTGAAGCCAATACCTGTACAGTGGGATCATCCGGATGGTGTAATTAATACGAAGTAGGCTGCCTCACCATAGATCACTTCTTAGTCTGTTGGCAGAAAAAAGCTTGTCCCATATTCAACATAGTGTGCTTGTGGCCAAATATTTGGCACAAATTTTTTTTTTTTTGAAAGAACGGCTTCAAAGCTTACTGGTAGTTGGTAAGAAGTCCGTGTGGACAGAACAACAACAACAACAACAAAAAGTCAGCGTCTCACTGGTGTGTAACAGAGACCAAAACATATATAACGTATACAGAAACCAAATTACAAGACGTTTCCCTTTTTCAGTTCTTTAGTAACAATAAAATACTATTGTACTGTATTGAACCCCAGTTCGATTTTTTTTTTTTTTAAATTTAAACCAAACAAACCTCATTCATACACAGGCCTAAAAGCTTTATTTACAGTACTCGTGCCACTGGTATTACTGAGGATTCAAGCACATGACAAAGTAAAAAGTTCAAAAAATGTAATAAACACAAACTTTTTTCAATGTTTTACAAAAATATTATTCAAATTTTAAAATGCTTATTCCCTTCTTAAGTGTCTCCCTCATCGTCTAAAATAATTTCAGTTTCACTCTAACCGTGGTTCTGGTGAACAGGCGATATTGTGAAGCTTTGCATTTTATTGTCCTTTGTACAGCATGACCCTGAACACCACATGATTTCTACACAAATATATGAAATACATTTCGACTGTGATTTCTCTTTCCTTACACCACAGTTACAAAAAATAAAATAACAATAAATAACTACAAGTTTGGAACTAAACTCGAGTTTTTCATTTACTCTTTGAAAAATAGTGCTGCCTCTTTTTTCCTTTTCTTTATTATTCAAGCTTCTCAGTCCAGGAAACAGCAAGGATGGACACTGAATATTTAGGTTACATTTTAAAATTGACAGTAAGTTGTTTTTGTCTGCATCAGGGCAGGAGGAGAACAGAGAAAAATGTTGTACGTCATGAGCCGGAGTCTGCTAGTAAAAAAAATTGTTTTTTTGTTGTATGGGAGCCAAAATTATTTTAATTTCCATCTGGTCTGTTTTTGCTTTCCTGAAGTCACAAAGAAACTGGAACCAGTCTGTTGTTAGTTGCTGGAAACCAAACTGGGTTTGCTGTGGGTTTTATTAAAAGCTTCTGAGAACCATTTATTCACTGAGATCCAGAACAGAGGTTGGGGAAGCTTTTTGCTTCCATTTGTCTTAATTGGAATTGTTACTTGACAAATGTCGTTAGCTGGAAGCTGATTGGTTGGTGTCAGATGTTGACCTTAAAATGTGTGTCAAAAACATGTTTATTATTGAAAACAATCTGCAGACCAAACTAAGCTATAACATCAATCAGAAATGACTTGATTTTGATTTCCTGTTCTACTGTCACTGAAAAT